TATTGCGTTTATACAACAGTTTAACAACACAATCGTGAACATAAATAAGAAAATCAAACACGGAGAGTCTAAAAACCCTTTATTATTAGGAACTACTTTCTTCCGCCATTCTTTCACATCTGCAGCTGATGTCAGAACAGCAGAAGCCGTTAATAATTTACCAGCGTCACTTTAGAGATAGTGTTTGATTGACTCTGTCTAAAGTGATGACAAAACTGATGATTTTGCTCAGACTTTAAGATTATAAGGCTGAACGTGACATGAAATGCCATCCATCTACAGAGATCTCCTCTTACAGTGTTAGTCTACAATATTTCTCTGTTGCAATCGGGATATCACAATAATTAATCCTGAAAATAACAACGAATTCACTAACGTTACCAGACTGCTGTTGTGTTTGCGATAAGGAAAAACGCTAAACACAACACACATTCCTGATATGTGAGCAAATCGGTATAAATACAGCACTACAACATACAAAAGAGAGAAATCGACTTCGGGGAGAGGGTGTTCGGGGGTGAGGCACGCGCTCGTGTCTGTATCCAGAAGTATCGCTGTAAAAAAGCAGAGAGGAGAGGAAAAGTCACGCCAGCAGGTCAAATGGGCCCTCAGTGAGTGAGTGAGAGAGATAGAGAGTGAGAGTCATCACCAGATAGAGAGAGAGAGAAAGAGACCAGTATTGTCATCACCTTTATCCTGTTTTACAAATTACCATTAATCAATTTTAATTTTTATTAATCTTTTTATTTTTGCTGATCTATATATTTTTTTATTAATCTATTTTTATTTTTTTATTTTATTTTCTTTATTTCTGTATTATATTTTATGCTCACATTTGTTTGCACTACTGCCTTTTTTGCACTGTTTTGTTTGTACGCAGCGACGCTGTACTGCTTCGGCAATACAGTACAGTTATTTGTCATGCCAATAAAGCGCCTACAATGTGAAATATGAAAATGAGAGAGAAATGGAGTACTTTCATTCTCTCAGTCGCAGTGAAATAGGAGCTTCTGCTGTAAGTGTCAGTGAAAGACTGATCCAGCAAACACACATGCAGTGAAATTGTGCAGTTTCTGCGTTTTTAAGTAGTTGTAGCATTGTAATTACTTGCGCTCGCCTTCCTTGCCATAGTAAGCTACGACGACATAATGCATATGAGATGAATGACGCCAGTACACAATAAGCAGTTATTATTATTACTGAACCGATACCGAATTGTCCCCGTCTGCATCGCGGTGCACAGAAGAAACAATTAATTTTGACACCCCTAATATCTATGTGTCGTTCCACTCAGAAAAAAATTAAGATTTATTCCTAATTATAATATCCATGTTGTTGCATAAACATGTTTTATGTGGAGAAAAGTTATGGGAATAGCATATTTTCCAAGCCAGTAATGCTTGTTGGTAAAAGTTAGTTAATTTTATAGGGAGTTTATTCGGAGCAAAATTACATTTAGATGGGCACTAGTGGGAGGGGCTTTCCCCCCTCTGATGACACGTACAAAGGGAGAATGCCAATCAAAGGGCTCAATTTTGACGATCCATGCGCAAAGTGCAGGGCGCAAACGCATTAAGGGCGTGTCCGAATCCACTTTTGCTATTTTAAGGATGGGAAAATCCGCTTTGCGCCGTGGCGCTTGGTCTAACAGGGTTGAGCTTATTTTCTTAATGAGTTATAGGTGTGTTTTGGGAATAAACCAATCAGAGTCTCCCATTCCCTTTAAGAGTCAGTTGCGTTGCGCATTTGCTATTTACATGACGGACTTTGTAAGTGGAAAAACTGAACACTTCACTAGAGAGAAAACAGTTAAACAGAGCATCTACAGGTGAGAATGAGAGATGAGCCGCCTAATTGTTTACTTTCACTTTCGCTCTTGTGGATAGGGAAACCTTGTACGCAAAGGCATCAATTAGCCTATAAATGTCACAGTCACATAAAAGATGAGGAACCCAATTGCAAGCGAATAACAGTCTTTTAATGAAAATCTCACAAAACAGGAAAATAGGTGAGTAGCTGGAGGTATATTTGATCTTTACAGGGAGAAAAAACAGAACAGAGCTGGATTGGCAGTGGCGATTAAACCTTCATGATAAACGTCAACAGAGGGGATCAAACATTCATCTGTGATGAAAATAGAAAGCATCGAGAAGCAGCAACAAATGAATCAACCAGCCCACTCACCAGCAGCGAAACCAACTAGGAGAGCCTGATAAAACACAGAAGACCGTGAACATACAACAAACTGACAAAGTGAGACAGGAACGCTGAACACTTATAGGAGTGGTAATGCGCTGCACCTGTAGCGCGCTGATTATCAGCTGAGCGGTGCTAAGCAACGATACCGGTGACAACGATCATGTGACCGCTCAGCTGATGACATGAAAACAAACAACCACTGACAGTCACGCGACTCCCACACAAACACAGAAACTGATGCACACACGCTAGAAACACACAATCGCTACATAGAATAAACTGTCACCCAGCGCAGACACATCAAAAGAGAGCAGATAGATCCACAACCGTGACAATAAATAATTAATTTAGTTTGTTTAGCGCAAAGATTTGTTTCAAAACTATTTCTAAATTCAGTTCTAATTCCCAGCAAACGAGTAAATGAACAATAATAACGAAGTGTGCTCAAAAACCTGAGTTATATCTAAAAACACCTGGGGCCTCATGTATCAACGCTGCGTACGCACAAAAACTTTGCGTACGGCAGGTTTCACGCTCAGAATCGCTCACGTTTGGATTTACTAACGATGAACTGAACGTGGGAATGTGCGCAGCTCCACGGCAGCTTTCTGGCTGGCGTACGCACATTTTTTTGTGCGTGTCTGTTTTATTTCCATTGGCGACTCCTAGAGGCAGTTGTGTTAAATTCCTCTCTACAAAGTGTCTGAGCCTTGCAATGGCAGCTGTATGAGACGGGTTCAGCAGGTATATAAGGTTTCCATACCATACATTTGACCAGCTAAACATTAAAGCACAATTTGCAGCAGTCACCTGTTTTCCCAATGTAATCTGAGCAATCTACTGCACGCACATTGCTATAAAGACACTATCTGAAGATGAATTTGCATGCGTGAATCAGAAACATTTCCATTCAATAAATGTGCAAAATAAAATATGATGCACAAACTTATTATTGATTCTTACTTGTCTTTCTCGTGATAAATAGTTGGCAAAATCTGATATGTAGCGGGGGAAAAAACAAGAAAGAGATCATCAGACGCTGGATTCGAGCCGAGATCATGCTCGAACGTATCAATTCATGATCACATGCGTCTTACGAGCTGCGCCACTGAGACTGTTAAGAGTACTGCAACATTTTACAGATATAAACCACACTATTTCTTTTTTTAATTCACTCAGTGCGATGTTTAGACCCAACTGTGTTAACCGCATCAGCTAAACTCTCCCACTCTATTTCTTTCTTTTGTTGTTAATTCCGGAGAACAAACTTGCAAATAACACCGCTTTTCTCCAGTCTACCTCCGTAAGCAGCACCTCCAATTCACATTCTGTTCAAAGTTTCTCTTTTTGCTTGATTTTGCCGTTGCTTTTTCGTTGGGTTTTGCAATTAGCATAGTCATTAGCATATTCATACGGGGGAGGAGGCAGGGAGGGGTTTTGTGCTCTTGCATGATGCGCTCAGTTTCACGTTTATTCGGATGTACAAAAGAATATGCGTGAGATTCGGCGTACGCAGTGTTTCCTACATCTGAAATTTTTTCTGCGTACGCACATTTACAGCTTTGTGCGTACGCAATGTTTTAGTAAGATTTCCACGCAAGTCTTCGTACATGAGGCCCCTGCTGTGCCCATATGGTCTAAAACCTGCAGGTGGGCAAATCTAAGCTTGTTTTTAATAAAACAAATATAAATATGGATATAATAAATAATACTGCTAATAATAATAACATTATACAAAAGCAAATTGTTATGAATGAACTGAAAAAGCCTCCCGAGATGAAGAAGGCTTGAAAGTATGGTTTTTATATTTATGTAGGCTAGAAAATAATAATTTTTATAATATTTTAATCCCTTATATTTATATCATATATATATATATATATATATATATATGTATATATATATATATATATATATATATATATATATATATATATATATATATATATATATATATATATATATATATATATTTTTTTTTATATATATATATTTTTATATATATATGTGTGTATATATATATATATATATATATATAGCCTTATTATATCCTATATATATCCTTAAAATTTTAATTATTTTTCATTTGTAAAGATATTTGCGTATTGCTCTACATCTTGTGTGTATTAAGCAATGTGTAAGTGACACGCACAACTAACGCTCTGCGCTGGACTTTAGACTAGCTTTGTTCTGATCTAACGCTCTGCGCTGGACAATAGACCGGCTTTGTTTTGGTCTATAGAACAGTCTAATATAGTTTCTCAAAATAGCAATGCGCCTCAACACACCTCCTTTTTTAAGACCAGAACGCCTGTGGACGCACATATGAGCGCAAATGCATTTGCTATTGAAGCAGCGTGCTGCAACACGTCAAAATGACTCTTGCGCCAAGCTGAAACTAGCCAACAACAATTGCGTTGCGTATGATAGGGCCCAAAGTCTTTCTGCAAACTGATTTTATCAAGTTTGATTATAAAAAAAATACAATTAATAAATGTTTACCTTTAGAAAATGGTTATATTCCCACACTGCTGACACACAACAGTTTAATAAGGGATTTTTGCATAATAACCCTCCTTTAAAATCAACAAAATGCATTAAAGGAAAAAAAAAGTAATCTGAATATGTTTTTCATTTTGCTCACGTTTTCTGACTAAGTGACTCATAGCATGGGTTGCTAGGGCGCCCCGGGCGGTTGCTAGGTGTTCTCTCAGGTCTTTGTGGTGTCTCTATTTTATCACATCTTAGCAAACAGCATTAGAAATGATGAATGTGAATGCCGAGCTGTGTGTTTCTCCTAGGTTACTGTGACCACGATCGGCTACGGAGACAAAGTCCCTCAGACGTGGATCGGGAAGGCCATCGCCTCCTGTTTCAGCGTGTTTGCCATCTCCTTCTTCGCTCTGCCTGCGGTAAACACACTGGCTCCTCTCTTTCTCTGCGCGCACACACACATTCTGTGAGCTTGTCTGGCGCCCCAGGGCAGTGTTTTCCTATAGAGGCCCTCCAGTAATGGGGTCTGGGGTTAATGTGGTCCATTTAAGAGTGATAGGGCCTCTAGGGGCCGCGGGGGCCCGCGGTGCTCATGTTACACATTATATAACATGCATCTGTGACAGGATAAAGCACAATAACTGAACAAATCAGGACTGAGTGATAATTATGCACCAACATAGCTGCATACTTTTAATTATAGTCTTAAATACAGTGTCATAAGCACAATAAAGTGAATTGATGTATTAACAAACAATATATGGTAGTATTTGTTATATTTAATGAGTATATTATAATATTGTAAAGCATATATATATATTATTTTGGTCAATAAGCTTCATCTAGATGCCTTTGCCTTTCATATAAGCCACTTCTGATACCAAATGATCAACTAGAAGTCAAGTTATTATTTGTGGTTCCTAAAACTTAAATAGGTGACAAGACTTTTGTCCAGTAGTGTATTCATAATATTATTATTTCACATAAATAACTAGAACCTAAAGTTTATTGATAAACTTTGATGTTGGCTTGAGAAAGCCAACGTGACTGCGCTAGGACTGGGAATGGCAGTTGGCAGGAAGCACGGCGGCGGTTGCTAAGTCGTTGCTAGGCAGTTGCTAAAACAATTATGGCATAATGCCCAGGTCCCTACGATGTTCTGATGTAGAGATATTGCTATTTTTAAATGGTTGCTAGGTTATACTGTTTTATTGCTATGGGGACATTTGACAGGTTAGTGAAGATACATCAAAGCTTCTTGTCAATATGAGTGATCTAAATCAACCCCGATGTTTCTATGGCAGTCTTTATGAGTGTCAAAAACTGGACTTGAACATTATGTATTCCTGGTGTTGGGTTGTGGCTGGAAGGGCATTCGCTGTGTAAAACAAATGCTGGATAAGTTTTGAGAAAGCCAACATACTGTTATGCTACTGTGTCCTTGAAAACAAACGTATCTCCTCCTATGCCGTTCATGCCACAAGGCCCAAATGTGGTCAAAATGTGCCTTCTGCATTCAAGATTGTTGCTATATCTCCTCATGCCTGTAAGACTTATAGTTTTTTTAATAAAAAAATGTTAAATATTAAATTTTTATAATCCGGGCATATAAAAAAATTATACAAGCCCCAAATTTGGCCAAAAGCTGTATTTAGATGCGGTAGATTTTGTTGCTATATCTTTAAGGTTTATCAGACTTATAGTTTTCCAATAAATAATTTTTAAGCATTTTTTTTTCTCAAAATATGGCAAGCCATTTTTGACTTAAACTCCATATTTTTTACTGATATGGCAAGCCATTTTTGCATGTATCACCTTCACACTTATTGACCATTGTATTTTCAAAAAAATACGGCAAGCCATTTTTACATAATGTTCATTCCCTTAGCCCCTTTATTAATCAGGGGTCGCCACAACGGAATGAACCACCAACTTATCCAGCATTTGTTTTACACAGCGAATGCCCTTCCAGCCACAACCCAACACCAGGAATACATAATGTTCAAGTCCAGTTTTTGACACTCATAAAGACTGTCATAGAAACATCGGGGTTGATTAAGATCACTCATATTGCCAAGAAGCTTTGATGTATCATCACTAACCTGTCAAATGTCCCCATAGCAATAAAACAGTTTAACCTAGCAACCATTTAAAAATAGCAATATCTCTACATCAGAACATCGTAGGGACCTGGGCATTGGCTTGTTTGACTCATGCTAGCAAATGGGACTTCCTGTGTACTATGCATGGTAACAATGATAATGGAAGCCAAGTGCTAATAACGATTAGCTACATGCTGTGAATGATTATCTAAATGCACTAACATATGCTAGAAATGCCTAGTCAGTATTACCATTTGATCAAACATGTACACGAGCATTGCCATTTAGCAACTGCTTAGCAACCACCTAACAATGCCATAAACGTTTGACTTTCTCAAGCCAACATCAAATTTTATCAATGAACTTTAGGTTCTAGTTTAGTTATATATTAGGGCTTCCCACAAGTTTGAAATATAAGTGGGGTGGTAGCCGCATTGAAACGCACCTTTTACCCACAGCACATAATTGGTCAACTACATCCGACAAAAATAAAAAATATGTGATTTTTAACTATATTCTGACTTTGCTCAGACTAAAGTCTGGTCACTGAACAGAAATAATGTCCAGTATAGAGTATAAAGTCCTGCTGCAGTGGAGAGAGAATGAATATTGTGTCTGACTCCATCATGAGCTTGGAGGACTGCATCCATACATCTCTGACATGACTCACATCACTGATTAATAAAGTCATATGGAATGGCAAAGAAAGCGTTCCTGCAGGACTCCCAGAGTTCATCAAGATCCTTTGTGTTCATCCTCAATGCCTCCTCCTTCATTTTACCCCAGACATGCTCAATAATGTTCATATCTGGTGACTGGGCTGGCCAATTAATTAATCTATGTATTTGTTTGTTTTTATTATAATTTTTTATTAAATGTTTTTGTCCTCTCTGTGCACAGGGCATTCTGGGGTCTGGTTTTGCTCTTAAAGTCCAGCAGAAACAGAGGCAAAAGCATTTTAACCGTCAGATTCCAGCCGCGGCCTCTCTAATACAGGTGAAAAAACACTTCTCTCTTTCTTTGTACTAATACTATGGTCACAACGCATTCAATTACACTCATTCAATCTTTCGGATGAGATGTTAAACCGAGGTCCTGACTCTCTGGTCGTTAAAAATCCCAGGATGTCCTTCGAAAAAGAGAAGGGGTTTCACCCTGGCATCCTTGCCAAATTTGCCCACTGGCCTCTGTCCATCATGGCCTCCTAAACATCCCCATATCATAATTGTCTTCAGCACTCTGTCTCCTCTCCACCAATCAGCTGGTGTGGTCTGGCGCAATATGGCTCCAGGTGGATGCTGCACACTGGTGGTGGATGAGGAGATTTCCCCCAAATGTGTAAAATGATTTGAGTGTCCAGAAATGTGCTATATAAATGGATGGAATTGTTAATTATAATTATGATAATAATCATTTTCAGGGTTCATACTAGTGCTGGAAATCCTTAAAATTGCTTCACCTGTAATGTAGTGTATTCAATGTTTAAAAAAAGTGTTTAGGTTTTGGATAAAGTGCTTGAAACTTCTTGAAAATGCATTTGTGTTGCTTTCATAGTTTATCTTACTTAATTTCTTAGATTTTTTTTTTGCCTGGTTTCTAGTCCAAATATCTACAATTTCTTAAATTAAGAGACAAGCAATCTTGTTTTAAGAAATAATATGCCAATATTAAGTGAGTTTGACCTTTTTTCCTAAGCAAAATAATCTGCAAATGGGGGTACGCAACACAATCTTGTTATTTCTATTGACAAAAGATTATTTTGCTGACCACATTGGCAGATTATTTTGCTTGTTTTAAGGAAAAACTCACTTAATTTTGGCATTATTTCTTAAAGCAAGATGATGTTTCGCTTGTCTAGAAAATGCTTCAGAATTTAAGAAGTTTTACACATTTGGAAAAAAGTGAGTAAAGCATTTTTACAGTGTAATAATAATAAGCTATTTAAATAAAATAAATCTTTTTGCATTTGCATAAATATAATGCCTTGAGATTATCACTCCGAGAATGAAAAAGGCATGAAATTAACATAAATTTATATTTAAGGTGAAAGATGACACATTTACAATTTGAATAACCAATATTTATGGGAGTAAATAACAGTAATTTAATGATGGGCTTGGGGCAAACATGCCATCAAAAGCTGTTTTAAGAGTACTATTCTATAATACAGCAGTGTTTCTCAACCTCGGTCTTGGAGGACCACCAGCACTGCATGTTTTGGATGTTCCCTTTGTTGATCACACCCATTACATTCCTTTTAGTCTCTGCTGATGATCTGAATCAGGTGTGTTTGTTTAAGGAGACATGGAAAATGTGCAGACCTGGTGCTCCTCCAGGAACATGGTTGAGAAACACTGTATTACAGAGTACTGTAACAAGTAACATCTGAAATAAGGTGATGAAGGATGTATGTAAAAATGTATTTACCTCACATCTTAAGGGCTGGAATAATTTGAAAATGCACCTGGAATGTGCTTAAAGTGCTTAAATTTGACCTTAAAATCGTGTAAGAATCCTGAACACTGCACTGTAGCAAATACTATCTGATTAAGTGCTGGAAAAGTTGCACCTGGAAAGTGCTTAAAGGGACCTAAAAAGATTTAAAAGAAGTCTCTAATGTCCCCCACTCTTAGAAATAAAGATTCGAGAGCTGTCACTGGGGTGGTACTTTTTTAAAAGGTACAAATTTATACTTAATAGGTCCATATTAATACCTCAAGGGTGCATATTGGTACCTAAAAAGTACAAAATTGTTCCTGTTAAAAATTGTAGGTATTAATACATACTTTTGTGGTACCAATATGGACTCTTGATGTACAAATGTGTACCTTTTAAAAAGGTACTACCCCAGTGACAGCTCACGTACCTTTATTTCTGAGAGTGCAGAGTGAGAAATTTCAGCTCAAAATACCACAACTCTTTGAAACTGAATCTTTAAGGCTTTGATCCTAATGGTGCCATTTTCAACCAAGGCTCATTCTGGAAACGTAGCCCTGTGGATATATCTGGAGACCGCAAAATACATCCTGGGAGGTACGTATTTGTGCAGTTTTTGTTTTTCGCGAATCCACGAGAGGCTTATCGCCTTGATCGCCTTTCGCAAGCGCACGATGTTCGCTCCCGCGCTGTTCTCACGTAAAAAACCACCGGAGGCCGCTGTCGAGCAACCATCTGTCTGACTGACTGTATGAATGACGATTGACTAGACGGCCGGCCAATCGGCCGACCCGGGCACCCTCCTTTTTCCCTAAACCCAAGCGACGGTTTACAAAAGCCGTGCAAAAAAAGAAAAGCCCTCATCCGATTTTGACCGCATTTTTGGATTTCACCGCATTCTCGCCCTGTTACGAACTCGTTCGGTCTATTTTTCCATTTCTGTTTTTTGTCTTACCTGATTTCTGGAACCGATCTTCCCCGGACTGGAATTCGGTCATTGAACGTGGCCGGCTCCTCCTCCTCTGGCCCTCTGCTCTGCCACCATAACACGACGAGCTAACTGGACAAACTGGTTGCGGCGGGAAAGCCCTCCACACGGAGGTGAGCCGTCAGCCGGCGAGCGCGAAGAGGATCGGCGTCACACCGCCCAGTAGAGTTCGCTTGAAAAAACAAAATGCAGCCATGCGTACCTCCAGCCACGTAAATCGCGCTCTCCAGAAATGTCCGCAGGGCGGCGTTTCCTGAATGAGCTTTGGTTGGCCGTTTAGGTGACTGTCCCTTTAAATTCAAATGAGATCAATCAGAAGAGGGCGGAGCTAAAAATGCCTATGTTTCAGCATAGTGGCAGGTTTAAAACAGCACTGATGTTATCTCTGTGAAAAACATGCAGGTAGCTTTGAAAACTCTAATGGCTAATGTAAACTCTAATGGCAGCTTATGTTAATAAGCGATTGATGGTCAATTTTCCCCCTCTGATGACACGTACAAAGGGAGAATGTCAATTAAAGTGTTTCTGCAGACTGCTTTTATCAAGTCTGATTATATAAAACACAATTAATATATCTTTACCATTAGAAGCTGGTTATATTGTGTTTAAACCCCTTATAGAAGTGAATTTTACATAATAGGTTCTCTTCAAAGGGACAGTTCACCAAAAATAAAAAATAAAACTCACTTTTTACTCACTCTCAAGTAGTTATAAACCTAAACCAAAGAGCTTAGAATGACCAAGAGGCGACACTCAATAGAACGTTCCATTGCAACAGCAGCGCCCAGCAACAGCCCTGGATTCCGCCATTTTGGAGTGAAAGCTGTCGGCTGTCCATTGGATCTTATTGCTGTCTTGATGGCAAGCAGCTGCTATGTTTTTTATTTATTTATTTAAAAAAAGTGCATTAAAGCTGAGATACAACCTGAAAGACAACAATACAACACTTCCTATCACAATCATCAGCATTTTTAATGGTTTATTTTACAGATTTATAATATGCTGTTGGAGTTTTCATTCCTAAATAGCCGCTGCGCCATCTAGTGGCTGTTTCCCATATTGCACTAGAGTGTCGCCTCTTGGTGATTCTATGCTCTTTGCCTTAACATAACAAAGAAACTTGGTTTGGAACAGGAAAGGGATGAGTAAAGGATAACAGGATCTTCAGTTTTGCGTGAACTACCCCTGTAAATCTGACATTTGGAAAAGGTGTAAGAACCCTGCGTGTTTTCCAGACGCTGTGGAGATGCTACGCTTGCGAAAAGTCAGACAGCTGTACGGCTACGTGGAAGATGTACGTGCTGACGGGCGACTATATTCCCATTATAAACTCTGAAAACTCCAGTCCGGGAAACTTCAGACGACTGGTGAGCACAAACACTCTCTGCAAATGGATCTCTCTCTCTTTCAAGGCCTTTGTGTTATTGGTTTTTGCTTATTGTCACGCTCCTTCCTGTTGATTGTCCTGAATGAGCCTCCGTAGTAAAGCCCTACACAGTGAAAGCATTTTTCTCAAGGGTTTATTGTGTGTTGAGTCTTTTCTATAGGCTACATGTCAGTTCCCAGAATGCATCTATAGTCTCCGAGGATGAAGGTAAACAGTAGAGGGTGTGATGGGGGTTTCAGATGATGTTAGATTAGCGGTGACTCTTTAGCTTTATCTATAATAGATTATTTTCGGCATGGATAACTTGCCTTTTTTGGGCGATTTATCCCGTAATATTTGTCTTTGTTGGAGTATCTTATTTATATTTGTGCATTTGTTTGTTGAAATAGTTCCTGGTTTGAAAGATCACACATAATATCAAATAGTTTCTACTTGCAGAATAGTTTTTTTTTTGTATTAAAAATAAATCTAAGACCATGCTGTATCTGATGATCAACATCTCTCAAAGTTGATATTTTATCCAGTACTTTATTGTATTTCCTGGATTAAATAAGTATTATTTTAACTGCTTACCACATTAGAAATCTGTCAACAGCATGCTAGTTATTGTTAGCCTACTAGAAATCTGCTGACACCCTACAGAAAAAACGAGCTTAAACCAGCCTAGGCTGGTTGGCTGGTTTTAGCTGGGCGACCAGGCTGGTTTTAGAGGGGTTTTGGCCATTTCCAGGCTGGTTTCCAGCCATTTCCAGCCTGGTCTTAGCTGGTCTGGCTGGGAGATGACCAGCTAAAATCAGCTTGACCAGCCTAGCCAGGCTGGGAGCCCAGCCAAAACCAGCTATGTCCAGCTTAAACCAGGCTGGAATTGACTGGAAACCAGCCTGGAAATGGCCAAAACCCCTCTAAAACCAGCCTGGTCGACCAGCTAAAACCAGCCAACCAGCCTAGGCTGGTCTAAGCTGGATTTTTCAGCAGGGCAGCCTGATAATTTATGCTTACTATGTACTTACTGTGATGGAAACACACAGACAACATGTTTAATCATGCGTTAGCTAAATATGCTATACACCTGTCTTGCAACATGGTAATTCATGTAACTATGAGATAAACATGCTAGACACATGTTAGCAACATGTGCTAAATGTGATGGAAACAGTCATCGTGCTAATCAGTGTTGTTCACCACGTTAGAAACAATTGTTGACAATGTTAACTGTAATAGAAACAAGTTGTTAACGTATGTAGAAATGTGTTTGCATGCTAATTCAGGTTACCAGTGTGATAAATATTGTGTAAATGAGCATGCTAATTCTGTAAACATGATGTTAAAAATGCTAGAAACATTGTAACAAAATGCTAATTCATGTAAACAACATGTTAATAATGGAAAACATGCTAACAACATGCTAATTCATGCTAACAATGTGCTAAAAGTGATGGAAACAAGCTATCGACATGCCAAGTCATTTAAACAATGTGTAAATCATGTTAGAATCATGCTAATAACATGCATATTCATGATAAGAATATGGTAAATGTGATAAAAATCTATCAACATTAATTATGTAAACAATGTGTTAACCCTGCTGAAACAACAAGCTTAAACCAGCATTGGCTGGTTAGCTGGTTTTAGCTGGTGGACCAGCCTGGTTGGGTTTTGGCCATTTCCAGGCTAGTTTTAGCTGGTCAAGCTGGGAAATCACCAGCTAAAACCAGCTTTACCAGCCTAGCCTGGCTAGGAGCCCAGCCAAAACTATTTCCAGCCTGGTTGAGCTGGTTTTAGCTGGTCATTTTCCAGCCTAATTAGCTAAGACCAGGCTGGAAATGGCTGGAAACCAGCCTGGAAATGGCTTAAATCCCTTAAACTAGGCTGGTGCACCAGCTAAAACCGGCCAACCAGCCTATGCTGGTTGAAGTTGTTGTTTTTTTCAGCAGGGAGTCATACTAGAAACATGCTAACAACATGCGAATTAATGCTAACAAGCTATCAACATGTTAATACGTGTAATGTGTGAACCATGCTAGATAGTAACATGCTAATAAAAAACTGGTTCATGCTAGCAATATGCTAAATGTCATAAAAACATGCTAATTCATGTAAACGATGTGTCAACTGTGATAGAAACACGCTAACAACATGCTAATGTGCTAAAGGTGATGGAAACAAGCTATTAACATGATAATTCCAGCCTGATCTCACGAGGAAACGTAAGTATTTTACGTTTTGACAGTTCAGTGGCTAATTCATATGAGTTCAGTCGTACGAAAACTTAACCCAACCCCACCCCAACCATCATTGGGTGATGAGCAAATCGTACTAAATTGTACGAATTAGATTGCACAAATTAGTACCAATTAGCCACTAAATCAAAACGTTACGAATTGCCGTGAGATTGCATTGGATAATTCATGTAACAATGTGTTAATTATGTTAGCAGCATACAAAAAATTTGCTAGTTAATGGCAATTAATCCTAACAAGCGATCAACATTTTAAACAATATGTTAACCACGAAGCATGCTAAACGTTAACAAGATGCTAATTCATGTAAACAACATGTTAAACATAATAGAAACACACAACATGCTTATCTACGCTAACAATGTGCTAAGTGATTTAAACAAGCTATACTCATTGCTTTAGAATGTTCAGTATGTTACCTTGCTAATTCATGCTAACAATGTGCTATATTTGATGGAAACAAGCTGTCAACATGCTAATTCATGTAAAATGTCATGAATAGACCTTTAAATCAATATTTTAAATCAATATTTTACAATATATTGCTTTTTAAAACCATTGTGGCTGAGGTTACCAACTTCCTGACGTACGCTGAATTCACTTTTTGTCAGTAGCTTGCTATGAAAACTCTCTTTGATCCGCATCAGATGTTTGAAGGTTTTTGCTATTGAACGTTTTAATTAAGTCTGCGGTCTGAAGCTTTGAGCCGGCGGTGGTTTCACGGGGCGTTTTTCAGCCTGTAGGTTGAGGTGTGAGAGCGGCTCGGGCCCTGATGTCGTGGGACGCTTGACCTCGCCGTCGCTCTTTGTCCGTTCCGCACAAAAGCCTCAGTCAAACGCCATGATGTCACCGGCAGCCAAACCTTTGTGCAGCGCAAGAACAACAAAACAATCTTTGTGCAGCTCTGACTCCAAACTTATTGAGGCCGAGTCCGGCTGTTTCCGTCTCACTGTTCTCCTTCATAAACCGCTCTTTCAGACGTTTTTTTGCGCCCTTCAGTCCTGATTCATGCTGACGTGAACAATATTTCACCCGCTTGTACAGTCACCGCAGAATTCATGCATATTCACAGGGGTTTTACATAAAAAGGGCACGTTTTAAAAACTCATATATGTTATATTTGACATTTATTCATTTATATTTCATATTCTATGA